GAGACTGGGAGAGATGCCAAAGGTAGACGTCAACATCAACCCTTCTGTTAGGAGTCATCGCCATTCTCCCATCTGTAGCATATGTACTTCTTCCGCCCCACTAAGGCTTATCACGCAGAAGTGGGAAATCAGGATACATGTCTTTCAAGATCGGGTTCGCTTTCCGCTGCCACCAATGTAGCGTCCCGGGACTCCCTGAAGACGAAAGGAGACAAAATACTCGGGCAGAATATATATTCAGCGCAGAGAAGGTGTCTGGGCTATTGGCATGGCCCAAAAGGCCAGCCCACCCAGCGAGGTACAAGGGGACCAATTCGAAGTACAAAAGTGGCGCCTCACTAGAACCGAGGGACAAACCACTATCGTATTACACTGTAGATTAGCAACCGAGGTTGATAAAGCAACGTGCATAAACTTATTCCATATTTACGGCAAAATAATGAAATCATTAAATTGCGGCGCAAGGGAACTCCAGATTTCCCATTTAAGTTGACCATATATTTTGTTTGGATATAGATACAATATGTTATGATTTTGCAAAACGTTGCAAATACGCTCCCGAATTAGTTATTTTTCCTTATTGATGATTGAAAAAAATGTTTGTGCGAATGCTACTGTCTTTCGTCGCAGTGAGAAGTGTTCTTGTGACCACAATATCTTTCCACATTTCATAACATGATTTCTAGTGCACCAGTTTAGGCAAACAAGCAAATTAATTAGAAGGTCAAATAGTTCGCTAAGGATACGTTTTGACTTTGTCTTGAGAAAATTATGTTTTTAAACTTTACGTTGCCAACCTAAGGATGGATTAAGGAGCATTCGAAATCTCCTAAAATAAGCATAGCTACAGAATTATGAAACCCAACAATCTCTACAACCTTAGTTGCTATCGCGATAACGCGTAAGACTCTTCTCCAGACATAATGGGTGAACTTAAGGCTGCCTTTCTGGCCTTCTGTGATTTCACTAAGAAGGGTTCAACCACGTGTAATGATAAAACGCTAAAGAAGATCTGCACAGATTGCAAGTTGTACTCGAAAGAGATGAATGCAAACCGGGTAGACATCCAATTCCGCAAACACATTGGAAATGCCAAAAAAGATGTCGACTTTGAGGGTTTTGTCAGTTTTATAGAAGGTACACTTTCTGATGCCTATGCAGGTGCACATAAAATCAGCAAGGAGGAGGCCATCAAGCAAATTAAGGAAAAAGTTTCAAAAGGCAATCCGAATTTGAATAATGCTACACAGGTGGCTAAAAACGATGATGTGGATCGCCTCACCGACGTAGCGCATTACACAGGAGCACACAAAGAACGGTTTGATGCAGAAACTGGGAAAGGAAAAGGTATTGCAGGTCGGGAAGATTTGGCCGACAACACGGGATATGTACAAGGCTACAAAAATAAGGATACCTACGATGACAAGCATAAGTAATCAACTTCGTCAAATGATAAGCTTTATTTCATTTTGTACAAGGTTAATTTTGATTTCGAATTATCTTATTTAAGAAAAGACGGTTTTTTTTCACCCACTCTCTTAATCTCATTCGCATAGAAATCTTGTTAGGTGGAATAGGAGGCAAAGTGTTTTGTCGGATTCCTAAATTTAAAGATTGTGTTTAATATAATGTAAATTTCATTTACAACTACCCTATTTTGACTCGTAGCTGAGTTAACTTGTTTAATCGTCAAAGTAGGTGGGGTCAGTAACTTCCGTAGTTCTCATTGGAAAGGAGAATTTTCAATTTTGTCTAAGCTATTCGCTATCCGTCTACCAGGAACTCGATTAATCAACAATTAAAGGCTGAACAGTTCTCTACCTCATTTGTGTTCCTAAATTTGGAGATAACCTACGATCAGCTAGCCACAGAGGCCCGGTAACCTCTGGGGGTCGAACTATGTGCAGCCAAAATTCTACGTGTGTCACGCGTTGAACTCACGCCAAACTCGTGGTCTTGGTTACTACCAGCATAGAGAAGGATTTAACTTTGTCACCGTGGCAAAAATCGGACCCATTACTCACCATAACAATGTGGGATGCTTAAGGTAAGGCCAAAGACAGATTTAATGGAGCTGATGCGGTGTTCAATCTCTGCGGCGACTCAATCACCCTCCTTTAGATTAAGCATTCCACCGTCATGACGACAACCCGGAAGGATAGTCGATCAACTATTTCGTGCATCCAGAAAGCGACTACGTACTGCTGACATGGTTAAAGTAGAAAGCAAAGCCGCGCCAGTTCTCTAGCCAAAAACCAGTCTACGGTAGCATGACACACCATCACCACCAGTTCATAAGTTCACTGAACAGGGAGCAGCGACCCCGAGGCGCTCACATTTGGATTATCAGCATCCGGGAGCCCTCATACGTAATCGACTGTCGCCAGCTCAGTAGGTGACTCACGTCACGGGTTTACGAAACGAAGTCACAACAAGGCGAGGGCAGACAGATGGGCCGTATACCTCGCGATTTAGCCGTCGCTGTCCCCCCCTCCTTCCCGTCGTCCCATGCTTTGACCTCGAAATTGATTGGGCTAAACTGGACTAAGTCGGCCCCCACCAGCCCCTCTAACAAACAAGCCTAATAATTTGGTCCGCGCGACCCCGGGGCGTCGGCAGAACAACGACCGCATGACCTCGCACTTTAACACCACCACAACTGCAAAGAACAACAAGACCATGCAGCCACAAAACAAGGCGTACATTAAAACACCTTTATTGAATATAAAAATCAAAGCGATTTGTTTAGTATTCATTGAGCAATTTCGGTTAATTGATCAAAAGAATGATTAATGCAGAAAATGCAAAGGTGTGGCCATCCACCCACCCATGGCCCCAACGCTTTTGTCCGCCAAGGGGCAAGAGAGGTAAGCGGAGGCAGCGACACCACGCTGATAAATGAATAGTAGAATCAAATCGCCGTTTACCAGTAGTAGTAGTAGTAATAAAATGTTGATAAGACGTGTAGAAAAGTATCAAATTCGAGAAAACACATTGGAAATTTAGGGATACAGATAGAAAGGGGGTGACGGAGAGAGAGAGAGGGTGACGAAGAAATGTGAGGGGAAAATAGTCAACTTTTCCCACGTGGCAAAAAAACAGTGACGTGGACACTTCCAATCTTGCTAACACATATCATTCCTTCTCTCGCCTCCTCTTCTTCTTCTACCTCTTCTTCAATGTAGAAATTACGGAAACCAGAAATCAATAAATCACTGAGATGAAGGAATGGACCGACAGTCAGGTAACCGCGAAAACAAACAATGCAGCATCGAATTTCGAGCAAAGATCCAGCGCGGCGTATTGACATGTCGAAGTTACAAAATCAATTAAGACAACCGTAGAACATGGGGAAGGGGATCCATTGAGAGAAGGGGAGAAAAGGAAAAGAAAGGACACGAATTATCTAGAAGACATGTAGTTTGTGTGTGTGTGTAAATTGATGTTTACGACAAAGACAGCAAATGCTGACTGACACATAAATGCAAGCTTAGAGCAGTGTAAAATAATACCAAGTATACCACTAATGTAGAAAAAATGGGAAACCACTCTCTAGTTCACATGAATGTGTTCACACTGACGACGTGTGCTCCTCACCACCATTGCCCAACTTGCTGTTTACCGAGTTGGCGTCAGTAGAAGACGACGCAGTACGCGAATCCATGGTCGTATCGTCACCATCGTTGTCCAAATCAGCTAGCAGAGACTCCGCCGCGAAGAACGGCTGGGTCTGAGAAAAGCCAAACGACCTGGCGCCATTCACAATTTGACTTGTTTTAACCGTTTTCTCCAATTCGGTAAGATGCTGAACCGAAATATTTCTACCTCCGGTAACGAGAATGCAAACTCTAGCAAGGCGTGGGATCACCCCCTCCGATTGCAACCTGGCGACTGAGCCATTGTAAATCGCTGCCAAAGCAACGCCAGAAGCAGGATCGAGGAGAACACCGTGATCATCGAGGAACCTCCTCACGGCGTCAATAGCCTCAGCATCAGTGCAAGACATGATTGTAATGGGGTAGCACTGGCACACGTTTACCGCCCGAGGCAACGGAGCCGATACAGAGAGAGTTGAAATCACGGTGGACGTAGGCCCAGACACATTTGTTATTGGGCGAAGGCTACCCACGGCACGACCAAGACGGTCACAGCCCTCAGGCTCCATGGCGATAACATGAGTGCTTGTCCAACCGCGGTTCCAGAGACTTTGAATCACTCCACTGAGAAGAGCCCCACCACCAACAGGAGTGACAATGACATCCGGTTGGGTGGTCAGTTCCTCAACTATACTCTCATAGCCACACCACAGATCTGGTGTCTCATATGGATGGACCAATTTTACGGGAATTGGGTCACCAACCGCACTGAAAGGCTGATTCGCCTCGCTGACAATCTGTTCGGCTCTATGAACGGCGTCGGCAAATGAAGAACCAGAAGCAACCAATTTAGCTAGAGGAGCTTCCACGGACAGACGTTTTTTCGTAAACGTGTCCGATTCCGGTGTCACTACGGTGCAAGCGATGTTGTGATTCTGTGCTACTACGGCGGCGGCAACGCCGGCGTTACCGGTGGTGGGACAGACTATATGCTGGGCACCCTGCGAAACAAGCTGAAGACAAAAAAAGTGCTTTAGAAAGATAAGTTTTTGGCGCAATTTGTTAAAATCAAAGTACTTACTTTTCTGACGATGAAATCCATAGCTCGAAGAGCAACAGACCCAGTAGGTTGAAGAAACTCCAGCTTCAACTCGACAACACCACGACCTCCAGTTTGCGACAAGGCGTAGGAGAGGTAGGAACTGTTGACTGTTGGTGTGATTATTGATAGTCTACGAGGCAATAAGGCATCCAACTGACGCGAATTTCTGTATAGATCTATAGCCGATGAAGCGCCTGAACTTGACCAGATACTGGATTCGCCCTTAGTAAGTGCGAGACCCGACCGTTCCAATATATTGTTACTTTCCACTTTCGTTGCCAAACTATCGACAAAACTACGACTCTGACCGCTTGGCATGTGTCCTTCGAAAATATCAGAAAAGTCCGGGTTTTCAGCAATACTGAGAATACCGACAGCTGAAAGAGAATTTGAAGTGTCGTAGGTAAATACGATACTTAAGAGTGACTTACCTCTGCTTCTGGCAAGGGAGCGATTATGCGACGACAAAGGTATTGAATTCTCGTTAGATTCATTTGGATTAAAGATACGAAGTGGCTGAGCCCGGTGCGAATTTGATGAGATTCCAAGAGAGGATATCCTTTCCGATAACACGTTGGGTAGAAACGGAGTTGACCGTGATGGCCCCCCTACAGGACCTAAATCTGAATAATTTTTGATTAGGGTTAAAGATAACGTACTTTGACGAGAGTTTAATATCATCATTGTGCAAGTTTCTCTTGTGACCGGTCCAGCGATATGTGCGCGAAGGCTCAAGGAACCATCACCGACAGCAATACCATGGAGCCGAGTTACAGCGACATCGCAACTAATACAAACGAGTGAATAGACTACAAATGCGCCATACCTTTGCTTTTCCTCCAAAATAACCGAAACGGTCTTGAATCTGGGCTGCGCACCGGTGCCAAAGACACCGTCGGTGACATTCGAAATAACATCTGCCATAATAGAGCTGACACTAGGGGGCAGCCTTTGCAAATCAGCTGCGGTAAGAACTCTCACATTAAGAACACTTCCAAAACACGAAAATAGATTCTATGATAGAAAAACCTCTAGCATTCAAAATAAACCTACCACAAGTTCTGCTTCGCTTATCTCTATAGGAAACCCGAAGACATATAGTTCCCAACCAATAATGTTTTCGATGTTGCTCTCTGGTGAGACGTCGTTACTACGTCCAGATGCGTATTTACGACCACCAGAACATGCAAAAGCAACACGAAGTCGCTTCCCTTCGGTCTCAAAACCATGGTAGGTCGAAATAGCCAATTGGGCGTGTTGAGGGTTCATATAATCAACAAAACCATAGCAAAGGCTAGCACCGGTATTCTACATACTGTAAATTTAAGAAGACCAAACTTACTTTATCCCTGATTAGTTTGCACTGACGGATAGGTCCCAGACGTTCAAAAAGACGCTGTAGATCAACTTGATCAAAACTCTGCGGTAGGTAATTTATTATAAGGTTTGTTCTGGATCGGTCCTCTAAACCTATGTTGAGATTGGGAGAAGAGTTGACAATGTTTTGCTGTAGACACAGAGGTCTCAATGGCTGACTTAGGTCTTGACTGGCGTTGAATGTTGCATCTGCTGAGCCAAAAATTGATGAGCCTTCATTCTGTGTTGAAAATAGCCCATTAAGCGGATTTGAAGAAAACCCGTTCGGCAACATCGCACAAAGCCAATCACGCTAAGTTGAGTATTCAAAAACTGACTCTATTTGAACTGCAAGTTCTAAGAATTTAAACAAATATAACGAAGAGGAGGCTGTTCAAACACGCTAGGTTATCGCGAAAAGACAAAGCGTTTTCTGAGTTAAATTTTTAAAAGAATGACTAATTTATGACTGCTGCTATTAATAGCACCCAATGTGAATATTCAGTTTGCATTAATTATCTCTACCACACGATTTCATAATAATAATAATACGTCTTAAAACCCCCCTACATAAATTTTAACATGTTTCGCTAAACGAACGTTGTTCTAATTTACACCCTCGCTGGTATATTTTACAGTAGATTCTGGGCAGTTTTTCCCTATGGCAAAATAGTCGACTACTTATTTCACTCAAGCTTTCCATTTCTTTTTGCTCAGATTGTTAGCTAATTTGCACTTAAATGTCTGTATAATTTTTAAAATTCACCCACTTTCTGGCTCATGATTGTATCTTGCATCCCGTAAAAGAAAAGGCCGATGACCGAGGGCACTCATTATAATAATCATCATTATGATAGGTAAGAATTGTGTTGTGTTCAAGAAAAGAAAGGAGAAGAAAACGAGAGGAGTAAGGTTGTAATGAGAGAACTGCTTCTCGAGCTTGATTTATTAAATGGTGGTGCATCCTAAAGAAGGCGTAGATACAAAGTCCTTCTCACATTCTCAAACCACTTCTTCCCCTCTCTCACGACTCTCCATAGGCCTTCTGGATTGTCTGCTCCGTGGCCTTTAGGTAAGGTGATCTCTCATCCACAGACCGCTCAAAAACCGATCCTGGCCCGCTTCCTAAATCCAATAAAAACAAATACGTTTTTCAAGGATGTCTAAATGTTCAAAATTTCATGCTCGATGCACACATCTGCACGAGAAAGCACTAGAAAAAGCACGCAGTAGGGCAAGACAAATGAATTAAGCTCATAGTAAGACGGAGATGCTAGATTACCTCCCGCCTGGTTTGCGTACTCCGGGACTGAAATCAGAGGTGGGTTAGGAATAAAACCCAGTAAATTGGTGAAAAAAATTAACAAAATGCTTCATGGACAAAAAATGGTAGACAGAGATGCAGATGGGTGGGTGGTTGGCTGATTGGTTGGTCAGTTTGGGTGGATAAGTAGGCAAAATTACGAATAGTAAAGGGGTAACTTGGCGTTTCAATGGATGTCATGCTGATGAAGTGTCCGAATGTAATGTGCGAGTAGTACGATAGATGAATGAAGGAATAAATAAATTGACGCTTTTAAGGGATACATGGGACGGTAGATAGGTGGATCATGAATGCAAGAAATGATAGATAGTTAAATATTTAGTTAAATAACTTTGGCGCTATTTTATAGATGGTTGGAAGGCCGAACCAATGAAAAAGTAGTTAGATATACAAGAAATTGAAGTGGAACTAATTTGCATGCACCCCAAAGAATGCAGGTCTCCAAACGCACCTCCCATTTCCGACTGTGGCAGCTGTTGTTCGAGAATTTTGTAGGACTTGGGTTGGACATTCTTAAAAGTAGGTCCACCATGGCGCCATAGATGTTCTTCAACAATCTCAGATCGCTCCTCTGGTCCGCCTTGAACGACGGTTGGGGAAGACTGCTCAGCTGCCATCATTTTCATGCTCATGTTGTAGTTAGTCACGTTGAAGGCACGTCTATAGGGAATGGGGGTAAATTTGAAGGCACTCAAGCAGAAAAAACTTGACACCTATCAATAGAATGGCAGAGAGGCAGAGAGATATCCACAATGAGTGGTAAGTAATTCTTAGACTATAATATAAAATACTAAGTGGACGAATGGGCGAATTACTTAAAGTAGGAGTAAATAAAATTGTAAAAAACTAATCGCAGCATGGATAAAGTGATGAGTGCATTAGGGGTGGTTGGACAAAAGCATGGATGAAAGGATGCCGGCTGTATGAATGGGACAGAGTCGTAGGAATTAAGCCAACAACAAAAGGATAGATGGAGTAAAGAGTGGTTAAATGGGAAGGAAATGATTGCACAAATAGGTTCTACGAAAAAAGTAGTAGTATCTGAATAAGTCGATGGACAGGGGAAGACCGAAAAACTGATAATATAAAAGCTAGGTGATCCTGTTATCTTTCATTATAAACATTATAAAAGCACAATGACACAGGAAACAATAACGGAAAATAAACAAATAAACACCTATAAAAGGTGAATTTCTCTCACATTCCGTTAGGAGAAAAACCACACCCAATTTACCCACATTGGCTAAAGATGAAGCACAGATCTAATAAATTCTAGATTAAAATTTTAAGAAAAGTCAAAAGCTACTAAGCAAAATTGGCAAAAAATATGCTGCATTAAAACAAATAAAAAGAATAAAAGGAAAAGATAAACGCATAGACGAACATGATAGATC